GCAAGACTTTCAATATGGTATATCAAATATATTTCACAGAACTTTCTATTTCAGTTTATTAATACAATGAGGTTTGAGGTATAAATCAATCAGACAGTAACACAACAACAAAAACACCTGAAAAGTCCTCAACAATAGACAGGTGTCTAAACAATATGTCATGATCTGTTTTAATTGACCAGAGTACATGAGTATGTGGCAGGGTGAACTACCTTTTTTCTTCAAAACTCTCATAAGAAGAATTGGCATCTTTTGCAAGTAATACTTGTCCATAATGTGATTGGAATGTCTCAAAACTGATGAACACAAAAAGACTTATACATACATATTAAAAATGAAATATACATCAGTGCATACATCTTCTATAAATAAATCACCTTCCATACATCAAATTAACAAAAATATTGAGACTTGAACACAACCAAAAATGTTCTAGGAGTGAACTATGGTGCCCTGGATATTTGCTTGCCTTCTTGGTTTTATTGAATCTATCTGCTGCATTGAAGATATTGTGAGTTGGAGTTGATGAATAAATATTATTTGTATTGTTTAGGACCAAGAAATTTAAGATACAAAGAGAAAGTAAAATAGAATGGAAGTATGAATTCATCCTCAAGACCAAGAAGAATATTTATATATATCAAAATAGAATGTGTACTAGATTAGCATTTACTTATCTAAAATATGCTCAAATACTGTGAAATTTGTGTGATTGAGACTCAATTCACCTTAATTTCATTTAAAAATTATAATGTGAAAGCTCGATTCACATTAATTTCACGTGAAAAATTTAACGTGAATTTCACGTGAAAGCTCGATTCACGTTAATTTCATGTGAAAAATTTCACGTGAATATCACGTGAAAGCTTGATTCACGTGAAATTCATGTAAATTTAACGTGAGTTTCACGTGAAAAATTTCACGTGAGTTTCATGTATAAGCTCGTTTGAGGTGAATCTCACGTGAAAAATTTCATGTGAAATTCACGTGATTTTCACGTGAAATTTACGTGAAAAAAATTTGCCTGTGTAGGTGGCCATTTTGAATAATTGACAAAATAATTAGATTTTAGAGAAAGCAAGCAGGGGTCTAAATAGAACAAATTAAAATATGGGATTAATAGAAATGTGATTTAGATTGTTCTGAAATGAGGGTTAGTTTACATCTGGTATTGATTTAGATAGTGATTTGGGAGTCTGTGATGTGGAGTAAATACAAGTGACAACAATGGTCAAAATGCCAAATGTTACAAAGTCTTTTTGGAATCACTTGGTGTGTGAAATAAAGCATGAAACTTTTGTTAATCTCAAATACCCTGTTGTTAGATCTCTTTCCATCTTTGAGAGTTTAAAAGTTCATTTAAATGTAACAGCAGGTCAAAACTGCATAGAAGTCTCAAGCTTTGAAAACATTCATTTAAATTTCATTAGCCTTACGACTTTACATATTTTTTTCATATAAATATGGCCAAGTGTAATCATAATTTCAACTGAAGACCCTTTGCATGAATAAAACCAAGCAGATTTATTTCCAAGTATTTCTATGAAATGTGATGGAGGTATCATTCTTTGTGTGTGTAGTAAAATCTAAATCACTACACTGAATAACTGTAACATTAGAAAGGATCACACTGACAATGCAAGGTCAAACTAATTGCTTCATAACTTTATATAAAGTACATTAGGAAAATCAGAATAAGAAAACAATTTTCATATATTTGAATATCAATTCAAAGACCAGAGTAAACATGAAATTATTTAATTAAAGTGAAAATCTACACAAATATATTTTCATAAAATAAGAATCAATTATTATCCCAAAATCAACGTTATTGGTTGTTTAACATCAGTCCATGCAAGTTTCAAATAAAATTCAGAGTGAATACCAATTTCAATTGTATCTACTGTAACGAAGACAGAGGTCAAAGGAGGAGGTATGATATAGCAAATTTTTGGACCCTTGAATTAAAAAATCAATAATTTTGATATATCTTTCTAATAACATCTTTAGATGTTTGCAAGACATTAAGTTTGTCAGATATCAGTATTTAAAGTTTTGAATTTTGCCTTACTTATTTGCATTAGGACTTCAAACTTGTTGCTTTTAATCCAAAACTGCTAAAAATGTGAGCCTCACTTTTAGAGTTTGTCATTAATATACAAGTTAAGGCCTTACCTTAAAAGATATTTTGTTACAAAGATGTCTTTAATACAAAGAATTGTTAAAGTGGTTAAAATATCTTTTTGTGCAATGATTTGGCTCATATTCAATTTTGCCCAAAAACTATTTTGGGTCAACTGTGTTAAATAATGTCATAGTGACATCAGAACTGGAATTTCTGTACAAAAACAGATTATATATAAAAAAAAGATGTGGTATGATTGCAAATGAGACAACTCTCTACAAGAGACCAAATAACACAGAAATTAACAACTATAGGTCACCGTACAGCTTTCAACAATGAGCACAGCCCATACCGCATAGTCAGCTATAAAAGGCCCCGAAATGACAAATGTAAAACAATTCAAACAAGAAAACTAAAGGCCTAATTTATGTACAAAATAATGAACGAAAAAAACAAATATGTTACACAGAAAAAAACGACAACCACTGAATTACAGGCTCCCTACGCAGGACAGGCACATAGAGAATTTGGCGGGGTTAAACTCGTTTGAAGGCGCCAACCCTCCCCTAACCTGGGACAGTGGTGTAACAGCACAACATAAGAACAAACTATAAAAATCAGTTGAAAAAGGCTAACATACTTTTCCTTTATCATTAAAACTAACTTTATTTTGAAATGATTGAAGAAATTTTACTTGTATTGCAGTTTTAGGAAGCAAATAATGGGTCTTTTCATACCTCTTCTCATTGTCAGACAATCTGTTATCAGTTTTCATGACACCTTTAATCCTTACTCTAAAAAGATTCATAAAAGTTACTGAGGTAGATGTTTTAATCTTAAAGAATGGTTCCAGAGTCATCATCAGGGAACCATTGATGTAGGTCTTTAAGTGTCTGTGACCTTTTCTTTGGACAAGTTGATCTTATAAAATATAGGGATTTTACTATTATTACATATGTAACCATATGTGCAAGTTTGATTTTATTACATATGTAACCATATGTGCAAGTTTGATTTTATTACATATGTAATCATATGTGCAAGTTTGATTTAATTACATATGTAACCATATGTGCAAGTTTGATTTTATTACATATGTAACCAAATGTGCAAGTTTGATTTTATTGCATATGTAGCCATATGTGCAAGTTTGATTTTATTACATATGTAACCAAATGTGCAAGTTTGATTTTATTGCATATGTAACCATATGTGCAAGTTTGATTTTATTACATATGTAACCAAATGTGCAAGTTTGATTTTATTGCACATTTACATTTAGCGGGGCTTAAAATTTTTGTTTACCACTCAACCCCCCCCCCCTTTTTATTATTTAGATCAGTGGAATACGTAGAAATACATTAAGATATTTACAATAATAATCAGTTGAGAAAAAGCACTTAACGAGTATTTAGTTCAGTATGTTTAAGGGTTAAATTATTCTTGCCTAGTTCTTATGTATGGTCAATTGACTCTGCATTATATTTGGTTAACATCTATATGTTAGATCTGGTGGCGACATCTGGTGACACATATATTTCACAACGCAACATACAGCTGTTACATAAAGATATAAAATGAAACTTGTCAAAAAGGTCAAACTCATAAAAAAACAAACTCCATTTATATCTATTAAAAATAAAAAAATATGGATTTACTACAAAAGAAAAAAGAAAAGAAACAAAAAATGAAAACTTAAGTGTTGGTTTCTCAATAGCTAAGCCAAGATTGATATTACTTAGGATTTCTAAAGACTATTAAAACTAAGTGATATGTTCTTTGTTATGCAACAAAAACTATAAAAAAGGAGGCCCCAAGGAGGCTGTTTTGCTCAACTTATAAGTTATCAATTGCTTAATAGGTGTGTTAGTATGTTATCTATCTGCTATCATCAATATTCTGTAAAAACAAAGAGGCGGGGATATTAAGGGGACATACAAAATACATAATTCAAAAGAATAAACGAAAGACATCAGAAAGACAAACAAGTCAACATAACAATTCATTCAAAAGTAAAAAATGAACATAACAACAAAAAAAAAAACCTTGGGAGATCTCTGTTGCTCCAGAAGGTAAACAGATCCTGCTCCACTAGAGGCACCTGTGATGTTGCTCATGGTATGTACAATTTCAGTGATAAGTCTCATTTGGTGATGTCAGAATCAAGGAAAAGACCTTCCTTTATTGAGGTTATAACAATTGGAACATATCAGTGGTCATGTGACACATTATGCCATAAGGGTCTACCAACTTGCAATAGAGTTCACAAAACTTTTGAAGGGATGACTCCGACTTAAACCCTTAGAATCTTTGGTTCAATAGCTCCCCTTTAAACAGCAATCCTCTATCAAGGAAAAGCAAGCTCTGGAATATAGCATCAACTGGGAGATGTATACTCCATATGCAGGCGCTGATGAAATGTTGCTACATAGAAAGTTCACAATTAGGAAACTGAAACCATCGCTTTTGTTGTACAGATTTGTCCTCAACTGACCCTTGTCAATTTCTAGATGTAAGCCAAGATATGAGGCAGACATAACTGTAATTCATGCAGTGTGGTGACCATCTTGAATATTTGATTACTATATTAACTTAAGCAATACATAACAAGAGTATTAACTCACAGAAGAGTCAGAGTTGAGTTGGAGAACTAAATTGTTGTTGTGTGTCAATATCATACACCCCCCTTTTTTCTCCTGGTGCACCTACATTGCAGATACCTATAGACATATTGCTGACAACTTCTCTTGTGGGTGTGAATAAAATATTTTCAACTGAATATCTAGCAACTTACAATCAAGTTTGTCTGAAATTGCTGTTCAAGATGGCTGCCAGACATCAGAGCTATCTAAGATAATAGTCGTGTATGATTTACCTTAAAAATACCATTCAATCACTCAAAAGGCATAGACTATTTAAGTTTGTAAACCAAATTTTAGGTCAGTATCTGTCTTTTTACTTTCATCTAAAAATGAAAAAAATAAACTCACTTCAAAAAGTGTTTGAAATTAATATAAATATAAACAGTTAGTCAATCTGATCAAACTACTAGTCCTGTGTCCACATTTTGCTAACAAGGATCTGACAACACTCTGCTCTACTTTGGTAATTTCTTTTTTGCGGTTATTATTATATGGGCTAATGAAATATCTGTCTTCAAATTTTTGAAGGTTTGTTACCATGAAAGACAGCGAGGTAGCATGGTGTTTGAAGATTTTGATTATTTTCATGCTGGGGCCTTTTATAGCTGACTATAAGGTATTGACCAACAATCATACCACATAGTCATATCTTTTATATATAATCATTTATAAAAACCAACAATCATACCACACAGTCATATCTTTTATATATAATCATTTATAAAAACCAACAATCATACCACATAGTCATATCTTTTATATATAATCATTTATAAAAACCAACAATCATACCACATAGTCATATCTTTTATATATAATCATTTATAAAAACCAACAATCATACCACACAGTCATATCTTTTATATATAATCATTTACAAAAAAAAAAAGGAAACGCATCAAGCAAAGGTATCAACATTTGAATAAAAGGAGATATAGTGTATATCTTGTACATCAACAAGACGACAACCCAACAACATTAAAAAACCCAAAAGACATCTGGTGGTGGAGTCTTCAACAATAGATGAGTGTTTGTACAATATGTCTAGCTTTTTATATATATCCCTGTTCACTATCCAGCAAAATGAGAGCATATTTTGTGATTTGTATATAGTGGGCGCTGATTTCTCCTAAAGAATATAAAATTCCCTTTAAACAGAGAGGAACAAGACAATGAAACGTGTATTTTGTAGGTGGAAAGAACATTTAAGAGGTCATCAGTCAATAGGTTTCAACATTTTAAGTGTCCTAAAATATCCTATTAATATCAAAATAGCAGAAATTTATTGTCTTTAAACAGTTATTTTGTCGTCCAGTGAAAGGTCAGATGCTGCTGAGGATGCACTTTTCTCCTTGGAAATTGGACAATAAACGAAAGCCATACATCATTAAATCGAAAACAAGTCGCCCTGTGACAACTGATGTGATAAAAGTACATTAAGACAGAAATGATAATTCTCCGGAGATTACAAAAACGCCATACCACATTCCATAGACTTACACCTTATTCTCAACAGGGGTATTTTACGTAATATTACAGCAAGAATATTGTTAATTTATATTGCAATTCGTTAATTCAATACGTTTTCTAGTACAGTTGTTTACTACTTCTAGCATGAAGTTATTGAGAATGATTTCAGCCAAATAGGACTTCATTATCGCAATATTTGATGGGATCACTGTAACTAAAATGGTACATAAATCTATATCTGGATAAAAATTAGTCTGGATTCCAAAAAACCATAAGTGATCATTCATGCATGAGAGAGGCCCAGTATCATATATATGCTTGACAGAGCCCAGTATTTCCTAAAGGTAAAACATATTAAAGATCAATATTATCTTCTCACACTGTTCACTCTCTAAATGATAATACTACCAACATCCATTATTGATTCCAAAAATACCAATAGATGGAAAACTATTTCTTATGTGTCGGAATGATGCCTTGTTGTCAAGAGCAACCAAAGTTTTATTTTCAACATCCAGGTGAATTCTGATAAAAGTCCTGTTTTTAGTAGAGAGTTTGGACTGAAATCTAGCAAGTGTGAAATAAAGGCTGCAATGTATGTAGACAAACAATAGACCATTCAATCTTTCACAATGGCGATCGATTCTGTCCTAGAATGGCGCAGGTTGTTTGATTATTCAATCACTGTGAACATAATTATTTTCCAAAGCCGATCTCATCGCCAGTATTAACCTAGATTAATTAAGTCCGACAAGAGGCAACCATTTATAATACTTTCCCCATATTGATTTGCCATTTACCCTAATTGATGAATTTTACAAATGAAAAATCCAATTTGTTATGCTGAAGTTTACAATATAAATCTTAATTAGTGATAAATTCAAAAGAATCCTTATATGGATCACTCTATTTGTAAACGCTGAGATTTTCTCCATAAAACTAATCTTTTACAACTTTCTTAAAAGGGTTTCCTGTCCATTCCTAGAATTTCAATTAACTTGGACAGGAATATAATCTGACGAGGTGTAAAAAACACAATAAATATTTCCAAGAATTCCCTTATCTTGTGTAACATATTGTATCACACATCATTTAATTTAGGGGAGGACAATAATGAGTGTCAAGTGAGAAGGGGTTAAAATTTGGATGACAAAATAGGTCTGTACAAACAAAGCTGGGTCTTTCAAGTTCTCCATGAAACTTCTTTCTAAATTTTTAAAATCAATTTTATCATCAATCAAAGCTGAACATTAAAGTTATTGTGCAACTACCTATTCTAGAGGTGGCGTGAATCAGATGTGGATACTAAAAAAATTCAAAAGATCTTTTAGATAACATACAATCTAACAAACTCTCTCATCTTGCAATAGTATTAAAACATTTGACTTTTCTACACTTTACACATGTCCCTTGAGAAAAAAAAAACTTGGGTAACATTCTATTTCAAGATAAAATAAATGGGGAATGTGTCAATGGGACACAGATGATGCCCCTGCTTGCATATAATGTTATAAAGGGATATAACTCAAGAACTGTAAAAGCGACGCAACCCAAATTTGTACTTGATCCGAGTTTTGTGGTAATAAGCATTTTGTATATGTTTCATAACATTTGGTTGAGGCAAACTGAAGTTAGAAAAGAAACAAAAAATTTATCAATTTTTCCCTTTGTAAAGGGGCACAACTCTAGAAATGTTAAAGTGATGCCACCAAAATTCAAACTCGATCTGTGTTTTGTGGTAATAAGCATTGTGTATATGTTTCATAACATTTGGTTGAGGCAAACAGAATTTAGAGAACGGAAACAAAAAATTTAGCAATTTTTCCATTTGTAAAGGGGCATAACTCTAGAACGGTTAAAGTGATGCCACCAAAATTCAAACTCGATCTGTGTTTTGTGGTAATAAGCATTGTGTATAAGTTTCATAACAATTGGTTGAGGCAAACTAAAGTTAGAGAACGGAAACCAATTTTGGGAAGTATGTACGGACATAGACGATAGACGTACAAGGGTAAAACTTAATGCCCCCTCCGCTACGGCGGGGGCATAAAAAAAAATTACTTAATATTGTTAAAATTAACATCAGCGATAACCAAGCCCTTGTAAAACGCACAGACAAATAGAAAATTCAGTTTACTGTTTAACAATTTCTGAAATTTCAAACTGGTGAAATTTCCCATGAATGCTATCTGAAATGGCTAGTATACAAGTACCAGGCAAGGACTGATCCAAAGATGATTCCCGTATAGATATCATCTGCATGTATACTGCGTTTTATTCATGACTACATATACTTTGAATGTTCTTTTCCATGATATTTGCTGTATTTTATTCAAAACTTTTCTTTTACATAAAGACTTGTCTAATATATGTTTATCAATATATGAAATAAACAAGATGTGGTATGATCGCCAATTTATGTTCAAAACAATAATCGAAAAACAAATTACAGGTAAAAAAAAACTCAGGTAAACTACAGGTAAATTCGCGCAAATGTAATGCGTGTCATTTTAAAATCCGTGCAAATGTAGGTCGCCCTTATTAGTATGCATATAGTTTATTATAGTAACAAAAAAAAAATAATTTTCAAATTAACTAATTAAAACCCCCAGCCCTGTTGGACCTACAGGTATATGGTAGTACATTTATTGAAAACAAAATAAGTGTAAAGCTTACTTAAAATCGCAGTCTACTGCAAAATATTGGGAGTGTCAAAAAATTTGATCCAATTTCATAAATATTACATCAATTTGAGGATAAAAGAGAATAATTTGATAACTTTATACATATTTCATGTTGTTTTATTCTTCCCAAAACCTCATAATGTATGGATAAAACTCTTTAATGACTTGTCTAAAAACATATTTAGTGGTGCCCCCTACTAGGCTCACATTAACTGGTATCCAAGGAGAAGGAATCAATTACAGAGTTTCATGTTGATTTTATCCTCAAATCAAAATAAAAACCAAATAGAATGCAACATGCCCACTTTGGTGCATTAGAGACAAATGTAAACAATCATATATCTGTGTTATTAAGTAATGTACCATGTTTACATTCAGACTGATACTGTTGAACTGCTTAACTAAATGAGTGGACACAGGTCACTTTCAATATTGGTTTGTCATGACCTTTGATGAGAAGCCAAAGACATTTTTCATTTTATACAAGAAAAACATTTGAGGCATTTTCATGTAGTAATAACTTTTTCACTTTGGAATCAGTCATGTTCCCTCCCAAAGCAAATACACTTCTTAAAGACTTTTTTGTCACTATGTCTTGCTGTCATAGCCTTTACATACTGTGGAGCCATTTATTTTTGTAGCTACTGTGTCAATTTTCCTAGTTATTTTGAGAGTACTTTATTTTAATGTTTCAATATTTGCTCCAATCGCCTATTAAGTAACTTAAAATTCATTGAGTACTTGGATCATCGTTTAAGAGCATCATATTTTTTTGTATTTTTTTTGGAATGATAGACTATGGTTAGGTGAGTGCACTGTAACATCAGGAAAAATCGTAAACTATCTTCGTGAAGTACAATTCTAGCATGTTTACATGCCAAGTTGAGAAATCATCAATTCATTATTCCAGACAGGTCTTCACAAATCTTCAATCATGATTAAACCATTTTTCTTCCAGCTTTGTTTACTTAGCCAAGACATCCTGATAAAAGGTCTCTGAAATGTTTATTTCTATAGGGAATATTAACAGTTATAGAATACTTCTTACTGACTTTGGTTACTACAAATTTCATTTTGATGGCTTTTTCACCTGCTCCAAATATTCATCAGAAATATTTTGATAGGATGTACAATGATTAAAATACTACAGGTTTCCATACCTATTCTATTCTATGCTTGCTTATTTAATGTTTTTATAGACATGTCAATCAAAACAGTCATAGAAATTGGGGTTTGGCTTTTACAGGACTGAATTCATGAATCTTCAAATTTTTCTTAAGATTGTGTTACAAAATTCACAAAAATCAACAGAACCAACCAGATTTTCACAGGCAAGGGGCTGGCGGTCCTATGCTAAATTCGAAGACTGTCAAAACAGGACTTTTCATGTACATTTTATGTAATAAAATATCCTCCTACCCAAGGCTTTATAAAGAGGCTTTATAAAGAGGCAGTATGCTGCGGCTTTTTACCCACAAGTCAATTTCAGCATTGGCCTATTTTAGTAATTGTATTTGTAACCAACAAGCAAAAAGAGGCTTTAACATGGTGCAATCTACTTTTCTCTGCCAAAAAAACTAATCTTATTAGTGATGAATTTTATTAATTATAAAGTCAGGTGCATCCTGCCATTCCAAGACTAAAATTATGACTTAACCCTCTACCCCATCTTAAGGATGACACGACTAGTGCACTTGCTTAGTAATCTGTACGTGCAGATGTCACCCTGGCATTAAGAGTCAGCCTTAGTCTATTAATCTATTATCAAAGCATAGCACAATTCAGTTCTTCAGTTGATTTCCACATCTTGGTATTGAGTTCCAGTGAATGTTTTGACTGTCGCCTTATCACTGAAATGATACATTTTTCTGTTATTCTGGTATTTCAGTTTGGAAACTTTGAAAAGACAATCATTTCCCATGTAAATCTGATCAAAAACAGCATGGGTTAAAAAAAGCTTTACATGCTCCAAGTAATTATCATCAAAATAAACAAAGAGATGACCATGATAAATTTCTCACCAGTATCCAATCACAAAACAGCTGCTGGTCACATGCAGTCAACCAAAGGTCAAAAGCCAGATCATCAGTATCTAAAAAAGAGGAAAATATTTCCATATGAACATTTCACATCTCAAAAATAAACAAAAATAAGCATTACCTGTCAGCCTTCATTTTCATTGTAAGAAAAAAAAGTATTTTATTTTGTTTAAAGATCATGGGAAATGATTTGGATTTCAACAGTAAAAATATTCTGAACTTAATATTGTTTGAAAATTATAATAATAATTTTTACTTCAAGAGGTTAAGTTCAATCAATTTAAGTTTCAAAAAATTAATTACCAAGGACCAAACAAACAAGTCAACCATCATCTACTAACCAAATTCAATGAAGGTTTTACTGAGCTTATTACTGTGAGCTTTATCCACTGGACTCTGTATTTAATTAGAGATCTGCTTAATTCCATGTGTCTTAAAAAGTGTTTATTTGAAGGATCTTCTGAAAAATCTTCTGGAGTTTTAAACCTCATAACATTAGGACACTGAGTATGCAGCTGATGTTTTGTCTAATTCACATTTTGATAATTTCTTAGTTGATTATTCTGATCACAATGGTATACATCATTGAATAAATGTCAACTGATCATTCAATCAAAGTAAAACCCAAAAGTCTTAATCTATTTGAAGCAAATTTAATTTTTCAAATCCAAGTTTTGCTTATGTAATAATAAGATTATTGTTATATGCCAAGATTAGAATGACATCACAAAGTCAAGATTTTACACTCGATAAAACACAGACCAATAGCAACTATACAGTTGAATTAATCCTGAATTAGGAAAGTGTTAAGTAAACCCACTTGCCTTTCAAAAACAAACGAGAGAGATTAGGAACTTACAAATACTTCAACAGATTTCGATATTATTAAATATCCAAAAGTTACATAATCCTCGTAATTTAAAATAACCTCTATGGCTTTGATTAACTGGGACAATTGTATTAAATATTGAATTGTATTAAATCATAAGTATTTACTCAAAATGGAACAGTCTAAATCAATATACTAATGTTATTCTTCTTGTAAAAGATTATTCAATTTTATAAAGGATTTAATGAAATAAGGTTTAAAGTATATAGAATGCATTGACAAGTAAAGATGTTGTTAAATTTATAAATCTATATGAATTTAATCAAAAAAGATTGAATAAAAAAACAAGAGGCTCTCAAGAGCCTGAATCGCTCACCTGTATTTCAGAGGAGAAGACTTTTAATGTTAGCAAACTTGATGAACAAATTGTGTAAAATTGTCTTTAAAGGGCAATAACTCCTGAAGGGGTCAATTGACAATTTTGGTCATATTAACTTTTTTGTAGATCTTACTTTGCCGAACATTATTGCTGCTTACAGTTTATATATATCTATAGTAATATTCAAAATAATAACAAAAAGCTGCAAAATTTTGTTAAAACTACCAATTCGGTGGCAGCCACCCAACAATGGGTTGTTCGATTCGTCTCAAAATTTCAGGGCCGATAGATCTTGACCAATTAAACAATTTTACCCCATGTCACATTTGCTCTAAAAGATTGAGTTTTTGAGATATAAGCCAAAAACTGCATTTGACCCTTATGTTCTATTTTTAGCCATGGCGGCCATGTTTGTCAATGGATACAAACTTCTGATACAATTTATAAACGAGATACCCTAAGGAACATTTAGTTTAAGTTTGAAGGTAATTGGCCCAGTAGTTTCAGAGGAGAAGATTTTTAAATGTTAGCAAACTTGAACAAATTGTGTAAAATTGTCTTTAAAGGGCAATAACTCCTTAAGGGGTCATTTGACAATTATGGTCATATTAACTTTTTTGTAGATCTTACTTTGCTGAACATTATTGCTGCTTACAGTTTATATATATCTATAATAATATTCAAAATAATAACAAAAAACTGCAAAATTTTGTTAAAACTACCAATTCGGTAGCAGGAACCCAACAATGGGTTGTTCGATTCATCTGAAAATTTCAGAGCTGATAGATCTTGACCAATTGAACAATTTTACCCCCGTGTCAGATTTGCTCTAAAAGCTTTAGATTTTGAGATATAAGCCAAAAACTGCATTTGACCCCTATGTTCTATTTTTAGCCATGGTGGCCATGTTTGTCAATGGATCAAAACTTCGGATACAATTTATAAACTAGATACCCTAAGGAACATTTAGTTAAAGTTTGAAGGTATTTGGCACAGTAGTTTCAGAGGAGAAGATTTTTTAAATAGTTTACGACGACAGACGACGGACGCCAAGTGATGGCATTAGCTCACATGGGGCCCTTCGGGCCCCGGTGAGCTAAAATGGATTTTCTGGTTGAGATAAAAACTTTGGTTTCTTTTAGTTTCTGCATCATCTGATTGGCTGTCAAACTAAACCAAGAATATAACATCTTATCCCATTGGGTATCAAATGTAGTATCAATTGTTAAACCTCACTTCATTGGATATCAAACTGCATGTTACAATTTTTAATTGGATGTCAAATGGCATCTTCAAATATTATACTGATATCATTGGATGTCAACCTGCATTTAATCTTAAAACTGATTGTCTTGATTTTGGTCTGACTGTGCACCAACATTCATAATGAAACAATTAACACAATATAATGACACCTATATGAATTTAAATGAAAAATACAAATGATCAAAATAGAAGTGTGGTGATGTTTGTCAAGAGACTGCAGCAATCCAACAACAACAAAAAACCAAAAGACATCTAGAAGTCAACCTTTATTTTTCACCAAAATACAATGGTATGAATGAAGGTACATAAATAGGGATAAGTCCATTACTATATATTTCTACTATTGCTATGAAAACACCTTTGTCATTATATGTGCTCACTATTGAGAGAATAAACTACTTTTCAAATTAAATAAATTCTCCACTATAAAGTTTCACATGACAAGAAAGTAATACAGTAGATTTAATTGTTGGCTGCAATTTCAAGTAAAAACTTCGTGCAAAGTATTGAATGTTTAGATATTAATTTTATTCACTTCATAATGTATTAACACAATATATATAAAAATACCCCAAAACCTACAAGAAATCCTTAATATGGACATGATGTTAATAGAAGGATGAGCATCAAATTGCAATTTATTACACCCCAGACTGCTTTAAATTACAACTCCCATGCAAAACTTTTTACAAAATACACCATTGTAAATCTATTTTAATATTTGTAAAAATATCTGTTCATATAACAAAGGAGTCTATGGCACGATGTATCCCTCTATAGTTATTTAGATACATTAACAAATATACGATTACAAGATCCTGTTATGTAACAATTCTCTAGACTTTTAACATCATCATAATCTGTTTTAGGTTTAATGATTTTATTTTAAAATGCTAGTCAAAATGGGAGGAGAACATCTGAAGACCTTTTGGATTGGATTTTGTTCAGGCTTCTGTTTGTCTATCAACTATGTCAGCTTATGTTAGTTATTATGTCGACTTATGTTAGTTATTATGTCAGCTTATATTAGTTATTATGTCGGCTTATGTTAGTTATTATGTCGGCTTATGTTAGTTATTATGTCAGCTTATGTTAATTATTATGACAGCTTATGTCAGCTTGTTAGTTATTATGTCAGCTTATGTAAGTTATTATGTCGGCTTATGTTAGTTATTATGTCAGCTTGTTAGTTATTATGTCAGCTTATGTTAGTTATTATGTCAGCTTATGTTAGTTATTATGTCAGCTTATGTCAGCTTGTTAGTTATTATGTCAGTTTATGTTAGTTATTATGTCAGCTTATGTTAGTTATTATGTCAGCTTATGTTAGTTATTATGTCAGCTTATGTTAGTTACATACTGCATGTAGAACCAAAACTTTTATTCTAACCTCACAAAATATATGATGATGTCTAAATCAAAATAGTGATTAGAAATAAATTGCATTTGAATGTTTTATATTAAAGAGGTTGACATTTAGTTGTTGATATTTATTTAAAGAGGTTGACATTCGGTTGTTGATATCTATTTTAAGAGGTTGACATTTAGTTGTTGGTATTTATTTTAAGAGGTTGACATTTAGTTGTTGATATTTATTTTAAGAGGTTGCCATTTTGTTGGTGATATTCATCTAAAGAGGCTGACATTTGGTTGTTGATATTTATTTAAAGAGGTTGACATTTAGTTGTTGATATTTATTTAAAGAAGTTGACATTAGGTTGTTGATATTTATCTAAAGAGGTTGACATTTGGTTGTTGATATTTATTTTAAGAGGTTGATATTTGGTTGTTGGTATTTTATTCAAAGAGGTTGACATTTAGTTGTTGATATTTTTTTTGTTTTTTAGAGTTGCCATTTGGTTGTTGGGTTTTTATTTTCAGAAGCTGCCATTTGGTTGTTGATATTTTATTTTTAGAGTTGCCATTAGGTTGTTTGGCTTTTATTTTCAGAAGCTGCCATTTGGTTGTTGATATTTTATTTTTAGAGTTGCCATTTGGTTGTTTGGTTTTTATTTTCAGAAGCTGCCATTTGGTTGTTGATATTTTATTTTTAGAGTTGCCATTTGGTTGTTTGGTTTTTATTTTCAGAAGCTGCCATTTGGTTGTTGATATTTTATTTTTAGAGTTGCCATTTGGTTGTTTGGTTTTTATTTTCAGAAGCTGCCATTTGGTTGTTGATATTTTATTTTTAGAGTTGCCATTTGGTTGTAGATATCTAATTTTAAGAGAGTGATTTTATGTTGTTGATATTCCATTTTTAGAGATTGGTTGTTAGTTTTTCATATTAAGCAGTTACCATTTAGTTGACATTCAATTTTAGAGGTTGTTATTTGGTTGATATTTCTATGTTTTTTATTATCATTATCTGAGACATAAAGTAATGGTTTAATGGATATAGTCATAGCACCTGTTTCATATATTGTTCTCACAACTCCATCAACGCCTTAAAATGTTTGATTTTTTCAACAGATACATTGATTTTTTAATTTTAGATTTCAAATTCTGCCAATTTTAGGTGAAAAACAATATGCAATAACATAAAAAGGACTTTCGATTATATTCCCCTTGAATGGTTTCAC